ATGCCCACTAAGTTATCATCATCGTACTCTGGTCTGCTGAGACTCCTCCGATGATGTCGTTGTCCAATCGCACTCTACAGAACTTGAAACATGCTAACATAAACATATTCCGAACGCTGAGCTTGCAAGCCCCGTGCCACACGATACCTTTACTATACTACATGCATTCATAACATAAACATACAAACAAATACAATAAGAGTAGTGATACTACTATGACATTAAGCTACTAAACCATCTATTCAAAGTACATCCACTATCATAATGGTATGAGTCTCATGCTTCCCTTAGTTTACTACTAAGGGCCTTTCCATGAGTATACATGTGTTGATTCTAACCATAATATCATACTATTATGCATCAACATATACAACACACAAACATCAAACACACAAACTGAGTTAGGATCATAGTGTGTTCGTAGGGTTCTGCATCTCAGGATGCACACCCCTCTAGCCTACTTATGATACCCTTAGGTATCTGGGGTGAAATCCGAAACTACATAAAAAAAACATACACCGACCAACGTACTCCTTGTAGTCTTGGGGCAATTGCGCCCAACTAACAACTAAAGTGCCTTGGCACTAGTTAAGATATATTCAGATATTCTAAACATGCAAAACAATCGTCGTGCTACACAAAAGCATACAAGGGTGCGCATAGGTCACACAGATCAATCAATGTTATATAAGGGTAACAAGATAGCTCAAGTACTCACTATCATAACTCAACATAATCAGGTGAGGTCATCCCCTCAATCGTTACTATCTCGTTCGTTCTCTCCCCTAGAATATTATAAAAGGTTTTATTAATCTTTTATATATGTTAGCTTATTAATCTGCCCTATTTTGGTTATTTAACACTGAATGACGTTTTAGTCATTTTTATCTATAAGGTCTCTAAGCATTTTATGATTTTAAAACTATATTGTTTCTACTGTTCACTTGCTGAATTATTTGCTAGCCCGATACCTGACTCAAGTTCACTATTTATTGGCGACACTCTAGTTGCTCTCATCAAGCTTTCCCTAGATTCACCCTTAAATTGGAGGGAAGACTTGTACACTATCGTCATGCATAAGTAGCTCGAGTGTCCTAACTATTTTTGAAATATCACACAATGGCTAGTTTTATGGCGTCTTACTACATAAGATTCTTAAGCTTTTGCTGGATTCATTAGTTGTCCTTACTTATGAGTTTATTATAGGAGTTTTGATGGTCCTCGACCCCTTCCCGAGCCCTTAAGATAAAGTTGGGTTTCTTACATTGTTCAGTATGATGGTATCGATACTAAGCCCTTTAGTATTAATATCAACCCTCAGTATTGATAATGAAATTATATTCTATGTTTTGAGGAGGCCTTGCAATATTGGTACCCCTACTTCGAGTATCGATACTTCTCTATTATGGTACCGATATCGTCCTAGATACCGATACTCTAGCTACTGGAAATTGTAACTTAACAATGGAATCGATACCTCATCCTTTGGTATCAATACCCGACGAAACAATATCAATACTCTATATATAGAGTATCAATATTACACAGCTAAAGACCCTAATATTAGTAATTTATATTATTCTTATCGAGTCTTCATGACCACCCTCTCGTTATAGATCTAAACGTCTCATATTATTATTTAGCCAATATACAACTCAAACTATTACTTGCATAGGTCATTTCATTCACTGAGACCCATAAGGGTAATTTAATAATTTTTGTCCCTAATCATATTTTAGTAACCTCCACACTCGAGCTAGATGCCCGATCTCAATCGATATTAAACTTCTTACTCTTGAGTCTATTTAACATCTTGAAGTTACTCAACCACTTTGGGTATTGATACCAAGCCTTCAGTATCGATACCCAATCTTTCGTATGAACACCAGTCTTCTAGTATGAATACTAGTTTATCTGATATGGGTACCCTCTTACAAGTATCGATATGAAACATCCGATATCGATACCAATGGACCGATATCGGTACCAATTCATCCAGTATTGATACTGAGACCCAGAAAACCCATTTTTACCCAAAATATGAACAATATCGATATCGTGGTCCAGAAACATATTGTTTTGCTTAAGAAACACCCCCAAACTCATCTCAAGCATTTTTAAGGTCTAAGTTGATTATTAAAGCTTATAAAAGTCATAAGGGGTAACCATACATCATTTATACACCAATTTAACACAAAAAACATTTATAACAACAAATCAAGAGCATGTCCCAAGCCCCACATGCTCTTCCACCCCATACAAGTAAGCACACCCATCTAGATGACATACAAGTAGTAAGGGCTAGTTATAGTATGTTACCTCATCTCCTAGCAACTAAAAAATGTCTATAGCTTACCCAATGATTAATATTTCCTTGACCTAGCTCAAAGGGGGTTCTTATATCACTCAAAAGTCACCAAACGATTCCAACATGAAAAGGATTATTACAAAGTTTTTAAACAATACCAAATTTTAGGGAAAAACAAATTAAAATTCATGAGGGGGAGCCCTTTGGAGCTCAAACCCTCTCAAAAACCAATGGGAGCTCAAGAACACCATTGAAGAATATCGTGAGCTCTCTATGAAGCTCGTGAACTTTGGGTTAAGAATCTTACCTTCTAATCATGGATTTGAGTAGGAAGATGATGAAAGTTGAAATCTTTTGTCACTTTCTTGCTAAGGGAGAAGAAATGAGAAGAAAGAGGGACATGAGTTGAAGAATAGAGTGTTCTGCCCAACACCCACAAAAGCCACGTGAATATCAGCTAAAAATCCTCCCAAATCAACCATCTTTTTCTTCAATGATAAAATTACACTCTAGATCTTTTTATATTCTTTCTAAGTTTAAAAAATCCCCTTTTATCTTCTACAAGGCTAATTTATTTCCTGATTAAACTTAGATCCAAACCAATGGACCTTTATACTATAATAATTCTATTAAATAAATTTTTGGGTGCACATAAAACTACTACACTGGTATTCAGGGTGTTACAATAATTGTACCTTATATTCACTCTAGACTAATAAAATAATTATAAAATAAGTGCCTAAAGTATATCTTTTTTTCCAAATAGGTGTATAAACTTTTTTTTTAAATCATCTAGGTGTCTAACGTTACAAATATTACCATTTTAGGTGATTAGGACATAACGGTTGTTAAAAAATTTCATTAAGTAACACATGTCATGTTCTGGTAATTTTAAAATTTTAAAATATGATTTTATTTTTTAAAAAAAAAACTCAAAACTTTTGAAAATCTTAAAAAATCCAAAACTTTAAAAACCTTTATTCCAATTCATATACCTATGCTGGCCACCCCCATTCGTCATTGTTAGTGTAAACAAACTTTCACTCGATCGAACCGTCACCGATGAGACAACCACAAAATGACACAACCACCCAAAGAACCCCTAATCGACGATTTAATCCCGACAAAAATAATACTAAAATTGCAAAATTGAAGCTACCCTACATTATGATGACAGCCACGCTGGCATTAGTAAGGACAACTAATAATGGAGGCAGAAAAGACGGCGACGATGTTGATGAACGTGGCCAAAAAGGGAGAAATTAGGGTTATAGTTAGGGATTTTGGGTTTTTTGTAATTTTAGAAAAATTAAAGTTTTTTTTTATAAATATAATAACATTTTAAGTTTTTTTAATTTTATAAGGGTGACAAATGTCCTTTAACGACAGAATTTAACGATATCAAGTTGTTTATCACTTGAACCAACCCATGTTGGTTAGATTTTAACATGTTTACTTATATGTGTTGTATCCATGTCAATTTTTGTATCATGATACATTTTTGTGAGGTTTATCACAATAATTTAATTAATAAAATATGATATTAAAATTACTTTTAAAATTGTTGTAAAAGCGAACTTTTAAAAATATTATACAAAAGTGCAGTTTAAAATTTAATTGTTTGGGATTGTTTTTAAAAAAGTGAATTTGAAAAGATAAAACATTCATTATAGACATTATGTTTTAAATTAAAAATATATCATTTAAATTATTATTTACACACACACACATATATATATGTGTGTATTTTATCAATTTAAACTATAATAAATTTTAAAATATATATATATATATATAATTATATATCAATTATATCAATTTAAACTATAACAAAATATAAAAAATACAAATAAAAATGTAGTTATAATAAAAATATATTTTATATGACTCACAATTAATATTTTAATATATAAATCATAAATTTTATTTATTTTTAAATAATTAAAATAAATTATTAAAAGTAATAAATTGTTTTTAAGGATATTGGATGTTAGTATTAAATTATTAAAATAAAATGTAAATACGTAATTGAGTGGAGCCCATGCATAAGAAAATTATAATTGCTTCCAAAAGTAAAGTTGAAAATGTAAAAGCAAGAAATCCTAACTTTTGCAGTTGGTTTGAAACCAGCGTTTTCATCGCAATTTTTTTCTCATTTTTTTACCCGTTTGACATTGATTTTATGGTCAAAACAGACTTTATAACTAAGAGTGCTTTTAGAAATCATTATGAAACACACCCTTATATATGAATCATATCAATTTAAACTATAATAAATTCAAAAAAATATTGTTATATATGAATTATATCAATTTAAATTATAATAAAAATATAAAAAAATAAAAACAAAAATATAATTATAATAGAAATATATTTTATATAACTCACTATTAAAATGTTAATATGTAAATCATGAATTTTATTTATTTTTAAATAATAAAAATAAGTTATTAAAAGTAATAAATTATTTTTTAAGAATGTTAGTATTCAATTATTAAAATAAAATGTAAATACATAATTGGATGAATACATACATTGGCAAGGGTAAAATTATAATTTGCTTCTAAATTCAAAATTAAAAATGAAAAAACTAGAAATCTTAATTTTTGCGGTTAGTTTGAACTATTTTAGGTAAAATTGTTTTTAAAAAGCATTACTAAACGGATCCTAGCACTCTATTCTATAAAAATTGTCTCAATAAGCTCTCAAACTATAAATTGAAAAATACTCACGGCTTTATGGTAATATCAGTGATAATAAAAAATTGTATTCGATGAATTTCTATTTAATAGAGTTAGAGTTTTAGGATAAAAAAATAAAATAAATTTTTTGAGTTAAATAAATTTTTTCTCAAATCTGATAGAGTCGGATTTGAATTTAGGAAAAATTTGTCATGTCCCTAATAGTTATTAAATCATTATAATATTAGTTTGTCCGTTTTTGTTATATTTCTCGTATAGGGAATCGTGTGGATGACTTTTTTTTTAATCTAAAATGGCTCATGGAGAGGACTTTGCGATTCTTTTGCTTGATACTCTGCCGGTTGAAGCTATGGATTTGAGATTTTTTTATCTAGCAGATTTCTCATGCTGAGTTTTGTATTTAAACCCTTGTAAATCAATTGAAAATGAACTGCAAATTCCAAAACTATTAAATAAAACTTAATTTAAATTAAATCAGTTCAAAATAAAATTTTCAATTAAACTTTTAGATCAAATTCAAATATATAAAAATATTTTTAAATTTAAATTAATCATATATTATTAAATTAAATTAAATATTTTTTTTTATTTTCTTGAAAAATAAAACTTTTATTAAATTAAAGTAAATCAAGTCAAAACAAAATTTTCAATTAAATTTCTAGATCAAGTTTAAATATATAAAAAATAATTTTAAATTCAAATCAAATTTAAAATAAAATTTTATTATTATAATATCAGATCGAGGTCAAGTTGACTTTAATCTTCCCCTGCCCGACCGTTGTTATCCCTATACAAGATAGGTGATGTTCTTTTGGAAGTTTATACAGGTTGCTCAAAGTGATATAATTAGTAGTGTGAACAAAAAGGGAAAGTGATATAATTGGTTAATAAAAGGGTAAATTTGTATTTAGTATCTAAACAATTAGTTTTGGTTTGTTTGAGTATTTAAATTTTTAATTTTTTAAAATCGTACATAACGTTTAATTTTTTATTCATTTTAGTATTTCACTATTAAAAACTTAACATCGATTTTATGGATAAATTACATCATTCATCCCTCAACTATCTTCTCACCCCTATTTTAATGTTAAAGTTTTAAAAAAAAATTCAATTTAACTAAATAAATTGTTATTTTATTGAATTATTTTTTATTTTTGGTAATTACGTGAAAAATAAAGCTTATAGAATTTTCAATTAAATTCTTAGATCAAGTTTAAATATAAAAATATTTTTAAATTTAAATCAAAATTATGTTATCCCTATACAAGATAGTTTTCTCTAAAAAAAATTATCCCCATAAAAGATAGGTGATGTTCTCCTTGAAATTTATTTAGGTTACTCAAAGTGATACAATTGGTAGTGTGAACGAAAAAGGAATATTTTTGTACTAAAATGGATCGAAAATGATAGTTTAAGTATTGAAGGTGTAGTTTACCTTAAAAAATTAGGTAGATTTGTCTTTTCTATATATATTTAATGAAAAAAAGGCTTAAAGCATTACATTATCTCATTCGAACCATAAATATCTTTAGGAAGAAGAGTTTGGGGGAAAACAAATATCTGAGAAGCATCATATGAAGGAACATTAATTTTTGCCATGTGAAGGGGCATTCATTGTCCTTGAACCATCTCAAGGACCATAGATTTGTGTTTAATTGATCATAGATTAAGTGCGGACTTTTCCTTTTTGACAGATTTTTTTCTTTTCAAATGATGACATTATGCATAATATGAAATAAAATGAATTATTGGTAATTTAGTGGTTTAGTAAAAGAATTAGAAAGTCAAATCTAAATTTGATAACCATTTTAAGAAACATACAGTCTGCATTGAAGTTCTCATCTCAATTTTCTAAACATCATAGCAGCCATTTTCCGTCTGAATTTCTTTTTTTCGCACAAATTCCACGCGCTTGTCACACCAGTAGTTTTCTTTTATGTAAATTAATTTTTTAAATACCAGACATATAAAATTATTTTATTTATATATATTTTCCAAAATTTTAGAAAGACATTGCCGCCCTTTGAATGGTGGAGTGCGTTCAGAATTTGAATTTGAATTTGAATTTAAATTAATTTTAATTTCCTATTTTGATAAATTTAAGCGATCTGAAATTTATATTTTTTTTAAAATAATGATCAAATTTAAATTTAAGTTTTAGTGAGATATATTCAGGCAATGGACAAAGGGGCACTTGGCCAGGACCTGAGACTAAAACTATAAATTATATATAATAAAAAAGGATAAATTATTAATTCAGTCAGTCACTTATTAATTTATTTCTATTTTAATCATCCAATTATTTTTTTTTTCAAAACCATACTTAATGTTATGTTTTGTTTCTCTTTTGTTACTCATTATTAAAAAAATAACAATGATTCTAAAGTTACATTTTAAATTATTTTTTCACTTTTCACTTAATTATTCTTTAATTCATTTTTTTTTGTTATACTTACTAGGGGCCTAATTTCTATATTTACCTAATTTTTATATTTAACAAATCTGAATATATTCAAAATCACCGATCTTACAATGTTTTTATCAGTAACATATTTTAATTTAAAATCTGAAAGGAAAAAATAATAAATACAGTAGGTCCCACTGTCACAGTACATTTGGTTATAGATTTATATTTAAATCCGGAAAAAAAACATTTATGAGGAATCAATTTACAAATATGATATTTTTAAAAATCAAAGGATAAAAAGGACATTGATGATATAAAGAAAAAGTCAGTGAAAGAAAAAGAAGTAAAAATGTGCAGCCTGCAGCGTTCAATTTTTTTTGATGAAAAAGTCGGTGAAAGAAAAAGAAAAAGTCAGGGACAACTAGGCATGTTGAAGGAGTTTTGTGTTATATAAAGAAGAGAAAATGAAGTTGGGAAAGCATAAGGAAAAATGAGCAAGATTTTGATATTTGGTGGCAGCGGCTACCTTGGGAAATACATGGTGAAAGCAAGCGTTTCCTTGGGTCATCCTACCTTTGTTTACACCCGCTCTGACCCTCCTACGTCCAAGTCCCTCCTTCTCAAGGAATTTGAATCCATGGGAGTCACCATCTTCTATGTATCTTTTCTTTCATCACCATAATCATCAAACTGGTCATAAAATTTGTATTATACTGATTGGTTTTTTTTGTTATAACGCACAGGGGGATCTTGATGAGCACGAAAAGCTAGTATCAGCGCTTAAACAAGTGGAGGTCGTCATTTCCACACTAGCTGTCCCGCAACATCTTGACCAACTCAAAATAATAAGTGCCATCAAAGACGCCGGTACAATTAAGGTTACTGCTCCTCGGACCTAGCTAGTATTTAAAATTAATAAAGTTTGAATGAATACATATATATATTAATGGTGTTATAATGATATCGTAGAGGTTTGTGCCATCGGAATATGGAAATGAAGTTGACAGACCCATAAGTGCACTTCCACCATTTGAAGCCATACTTGCCAACAAAAGGAAGATCAGAAGGGCAGTCGAGGAAGCTGGCATCCCATTCACCTACGTTGCTGGAAATACGTTTTCAGCTTACTTCGTTGACTATATTCTTCATCCTCATCAGAATGTTTCGCAAGTTGTGGTTTACGGAACTGGTGAAGCTAAGGGTAAGTACGTTTGCAATAATTAACCCATGTTGGTTGGTTTTTAATTAACCTAGGATGAGCATGCAGTTGTTTTCAACTACGAGGAAGATGTTGCAGCCTATACCGTGAAAGCAGCGACAGATCCTACGGTAGCCAACCGTGTCATAATCTACAGGCCGCCGGGAAATATTGCTTCTCAGTCCCAACTGATTTCGACATGGGAGAAAAAGAGTGGCCGAACCTTGAAAAGAGTTTATGTTCCAGAGGAAGAACTTGTCAAACTGTCTGAGAGTGAGTCAGCCGTTTCGTTTCGTTTCTCTCCTCCAATGAACGTAAATAATGAATGAATTAACTAATTTTGTGCCTGTATGTAGCCTTACCTTTCCCGGACAATATTCCGGTGGCAGTTTTACACAACATATTCATAAAAGGAGATCAATTGAAGTATGAGGTGACGGATGAAGATTTGGAGGCGTCCAAGCTTTATCCAGACTATAAGTATACTTCCATTGAAGAGTATCTTGATATATGCTTGGTTGATCCTCCTCAACCCAAATTAGCCGCTTTCGCTTGATCTCCACCACTTCTGCTTTATTCGTCGTCTTCAATAATCGAGGCTATACATATTCCAAGCATGATCAATACATATCTACTTCATGTTTTCCTTAATTTCATGTGATAATGCTTTGATGTATTGAGTGGACGGTACCATCCTCTTCTCTGATGCATTATAATTGGTATTATATAGGGCAGAAACCAAGGTTGTGTTTTTTTTTTATTCAACAACGTTTTAATTTGCTATCCAAGGATGATTCAATAACTACAATAGCTAACATGATTTTTACTATAATATTTTATATTAAGTTTTTTAATTAAAAAAATGTGATAAATATGCAGGCGTACAATGTTGACGGAAATAGAGTAAATATGAAAAAGAACGAAAAAAATTGCGCAACTGTGTGTCCTGCATATCATCTGCTTTGGTTGTATTCAACTTTCACCGTAAAATTAGAGTAAATCATACCGAAATTGAGATCTTCCAAAATGCAAACTTAAAGTTAAGCCAAAAATACAAATAAAGCTGTAAAAATAGTACTGTATAGGTCATCTACAATTATTATAAATTACAAAAAGGATAAACTACAAGATTAATCACTTTCGTTTGAATTTTGTAAACTTTTTCTCACTGATTTAAAAAACATAATATTTAGTCACTTTCATCTTTGTTTAATTAAGATATGGTCGATGAGGGTTAATTTTCGTTAGACCTTTAACGGATTGCTGACATGACACGTTAAAAAATGATTTAATTTTTATTTTAACCCTTGAACTTTAGATAAAATTTATTTTGGATTTTTTTGTAAATCCAAAGCAGTTTAGGGACAAGTTTGTAATTTACTTTTTTAATATGCTTTTCTTTTTTATTCCCCCTTATGCCACACATCCCGTCCCTAACGGATTGTTCACAAATCATGTTAATATTTTTCTCATCCCAATAACCATAAATGTGTGCATTCTTTAGTGGTGTCAAGTAAATTAAGTAGGAAAAGAATTTGTGTAGAGATCTTGGCTGGAGGATCCAAGTGCCTAGTTGGTGGACCTTAGGAGAATAGACAAGATTTGCAATAGATGTTCATCGAGGACTTGAATCAGACTTAATAGCCGACCTAAGTGAAGTTGTTAGCGCATGTGTTACTTTGATCTTGAGGTTGCAAGTCTAAAGATGTATGAGAGTCTTATGAGAATTAAGTTATTGCCTTGTTGAGTTGAATGTCACCTCTAAGAAATGTTTGGCTCAAGGATGGAACCATCAATGAAAACAGTGGGCTCGAGAAATAAACCATTGAACTTTTATGAGTCTTACGAGAATAAATGATTGCACTACAGCAAAATAGACTTTTGGTGGTGTTTTTTGAGCAAACGCCGCTAATTGTAGACCTTTCACTGCGTTTACAGAAAAACGCTACGAATGACAAATTTCGCGACACTTATAGGAAAGAGCCGCAATATTCATGTACCTTTAGTGGCGTTTTAGTAAAAATGTCACGATAGTTCAATATACGGCGGCGTTTTAGAGAAAATGCCCTAATAAAAATCATATCTAGTGGCGTTTTGTGTCGAGCGCTGGAATTGTGCAATACTTTAGTGGTGTGTACTTTTACAAACGCTACAAATATTCAATCTTTTAACCCCAGCTTCTCTCATCTCGAATATTTCCCATATCTAAATCCCAAATTTTCCTCGCCAATCACCACTTTACTATCTGAATCTCATCGATCATCTAGCAACAATTAGGGTTTTTTTTAAAAAAAAACAATTTCCCTTAAATTTCTTCTTATGCTCATATGGTTACTTTAAACATATTCAACTAAGCATGATATCTCCATTGTTCATTATTGTGGTTAGTTCGTGGCTAGTTCTTGGCTTCTTTTCATCCTTCCCCTTTTTTTATTTCATATTTCTTACCTACCATTCATGTATTAATCCCTTATTTTCAACCCAACCCAACTCAAACCACAAACTCTTTCCTACTCCGGAAGATTTTGTTTCTCTACAGAGAGATAAACACAACAATTTTACTGTAAAATATTCTTTTATTATTTACCCTTTTCAAAAAATTTTGTTCCAAATTGAATGGAATAGTCGAAAATAGCAGCAAATTCTCATATGAAAGAGGTTAGATTCTCTCTCTCTTTTATTTATTTTATATATTTGATTCCCTGTTTTATAATTTTTGTCGTTCCAAATTGAATGGAACAGTAAAAAAATAGCAGCAAATTGTCCCTTGTTGAGTTGAAGGTCAACTCTAAGAGATGTTTGGTGTCTTCATATGCTTGAAATGTTGTGGTGTGCACAGAAGTCTTGGCGCCCGCATCTCCAAGGTGAGTACTTTAGGCTGCATCTCCGATGTAATATTTTTCTTCATGGAACTTTGACTTGTCATTAGGGGAAATATGTAAAAGATTTTTATGATCATAATACCAGTTAAATCCTTCATAATTTTAACGGAAGTCTTTCGCATGTTTATGATTTTAGGTGTAGAATCTTTCAGCTTTGGATTCTTGTGACTGAATTACCCTTTTAAAATGGCTTAATTATAGTGGTAATATGTTGTTTTTACTTTTATAGTTATGTTATCGTCATTTTGACCAAATTGAGGCCTATATCATGCTTGCATTTCCACCGACATAATACTATCTGATGCATTGAAATTTCATGTAACACTCTAATTTAGGGGCTACATTTTCGAAATTATAAAGTATTGATTTTAATTGGTATTTTTGGAGAAATTGAGGATTATAGTGTAAAATCGCTAATGAGCATACCATTTTAAGAAGTGCAGGAAATTCAGTGACTAAATTCATAGTTTACCCATTTTTTTATACGATGAATTATAAACTCTCCCCGTATGTTTTCTGCAAAAATTTCCATCATTTTCTCTTCCCCTCAACCCTTCTTTGAGATCTGATTTATTCACCGTCCGACCACTGTTCGACGAATCGAAACCACCATCGTGTTCTTTGTCGACCGATGAACAAAACCCCTCAAATCTTTCATCGTGAATCGGCGTCGTTCGTCTTAAATTTCAATCGGAAGTATCGTCGGTTTTAACTCAATTTTCGTTGGTTTTTCGTCGATTTAGGTCGATCTGACTACCCGTTTTCGACACCTCCCGCACCATCGTGTTCCTTGCATCGTTCCGAGTCCATCGGTGTCCTCCATGTCTCCGTCGTCGCCGGCGTGTGGAGAGGTAAGGAAATCAAAGTTTTCGATATTTCGGAATCGAGCTCTCCGCCGTTCAAAATTGTGAACCGAGCTTGGCAAGTGTCTCAAAATGCCATAAAATATTTTTAGGAATTTTTTTCAGGATTTTTCGGGGCTCTTAGGCCCACCGTACGCGCTCCCATGCACCGCCCCTGCGCGTGTGGCCAGTTAAAAAAAAGACCCGGTTTGACCCGACAGCCCAACCCGACCCATTGATCGTTGACCGAGCGTTGACTGTCGTTGACCAAAACTTTGACCGATCATTGACTTTTTTCGAGTATACCTATCTTGATGTCCTTAGTCTATTTTTGGGGTCTGTTTCGCCAAATTCAAACCTGCTAAGCTATTTTTCACTAATTTATCATCCGATTCGATCCGTTTTTCAGAATTAAGCTCGTTTTTTATGAAATTTCTATTGTTATGTATTTGAGGAATTATTGGAAGTTGAATTAAAGATCGAGGGCGTTCGAATTAAATTTAAATGGTCGATCAGTATTGCACGAAAATCGAGATAACACATTACTACATCTTTATGCTTTATAGAAGATGTTGAAAATGGAAAAATGCATGGATGTATATGATTGAACTATTATACATGTTTGATTGTGGATGGACTTGAACCGAATACGGTTTGAGTGATAAATTATGAGAATACTTAGATTAGGTAAAATTACGAAAATACCCTTATGTTGTAAAAAGACAAGAATTGACTATGAGAGTTGAATAAGAAAACTTTGGTCTTATCTGTATAGTTAGATAATTCTTATATTCGGTCTGAATGCGGTAAAAAGTCAGTAATTAAATGTAATTATGATGTTTGGTACAAGAAATTAGAAGTTGTTAAGGAATAATTTAAAGTTCAGAGATTATTTGGAAAAACATTTAACTCTAGGATCTCTAAATTCTATTTATCCTTGTTAAGAGTTTTAATACTGAAATTATCTGGTTAGGAAATTATGAAAATGTCCTTGAGAGGTAAAAATAGTTTAAGTTGACCATGAACGAGAATGTATTTTGAGGATTCATACTTAACTCGATAAATTACAGATTTCATTATTAAGATCCTGTCTTTGTATAAAAAAATCCTGGTAACCTGTTGTAACGTCTGAGAAGGCACTTGACCCGAAAATTTTCCGAGTTATTAATAAATACCTGAATAATAATTTATCGAGTGTGATATTTTGTCAGAATAGTTCGAAGGGACTGACATAAATGATAAGTTTAAATTTAATAATAAGATCGGACAGAATGAATTATTGTAATACATTGGATTTGTAAAATAACCAAAATACCCCTAGAATGGAAATGACCAATAATATCACCAAACTCAGGAATTATTGGATATCCTCAAGCTCTGAAATTAATGGAATAAAACTGAGCATCAGAATGACCAAAATACCCTTATGGACTAGACTAAGTAGATGTTTTGGATTAATTAAGGAATCCAAGTAAATATGGGTGTTGTACTACCCTTACAAGTTATGGAACACAACTTAAGTGAGCCGATCAACCTTAATGATATGCCAGTACCTGAATGGCATAAATATTACTTGAACGTGTGTTCGTCTTTTCAAGTTTGGCTCAATGATAATTTTTGAAGTATTCAACTCATCTCAATTCTAAATCGCATTCAATACTAAGAATTTGATATTTGTTTGACAAATCAACCACGAATACCGAGCTGAACTGAACGAAAGTACAATATGTATCCAAAATTCAGAAAACGTCCGAATTACTATGGAAAACTCTAAAGTAACAGGGATAGACTGGACTGTTAAATGAAATAAGTAACCTCAATGACTGACGATTAAATAAGTGATTTGGACGAGTATGGAAACGTTAATGAACATACATGATGTAATGTTCTTATGGGTCATGAACTACAAATCAAGCACGCCCGCATTTCATGATATCGTGGAAGCGTGAAAATGAAATAAAGAGCATTGGAATATATGTTAGTTTCCTTAAGATCTATTCAGCGATGATTCCGAAGATGATCTATGGATAAGAATTTTTGGTATTAAAAAGTAAATACCCTAGAAGGACAATGAATTGACCAGTCGACAAGCATTAGTTCTGGGAGTTATTCATCTGGAGTTGTTTGATAATCCAATCAATCGACATAGATTGTAAAGGTTCTGAATCTTCGTTCTCCCTTATCAGCTCAAACCACTCTGGGAATATCTGAAAACACAAGTAACTCATATGTAAAGGATTTTGAATACCCTTCTGATTACGTAGAGCTTCCGAAAAATGTCTGAATAAGATATGATCCTGATAAAACACATTTTGAATAACTGATGATTCCGTCAATTAACAAACTCTTCTAATAGTGATTCTAACTTCCGGCATTCTATCGGTAAACTGAAGATCTGTATTTCTATGCCTGATAAGATTATCCAATATCTCTGAATAATATCTGTAAACACTAGTGTGTTCCCCAATTAAATGAATGTTTTATCTTATTTTCGATTTGAATTTTGTTCTAACATCTAATCTGAAATTTGTTCTAATTTCTGACCTGGATTCTGTTTTGATATCTGATCTGAATTATGTTTTGTTTTCTGATATCTCCGTTTATTGACAGTAAATGTTTTATTTGGGGGTATTGTTGGAGGAAGTATATCTGCAGATTCCTCGGCTTTGTGCTCAGGGCCTTATTGTTGTGCAGAGGGTGTATGGTTCTGGGAAACCTACACATTATGATGTGTTCAGTTGAGGGATTACTATGGTTTTTGATAAATAAAAAATATGTTTTAAAAAGATTTGTATCTTTTCACTTGTTTTGAGGGAACACACTAGATAACCTATTCTGATCTCCTGAACTCAGTCATTCGAAATATTTCTCTGAACGAAAAGCTCACTGTCTATTACTACCTGAAATATCAGTAGGATTTCCGCTCAACATAAATATATGTAGATGTCTGAACCGATAAAGAAATATATGTTTATCTGTATTTGTATGTTCTTCAGATAGTTCTGTAGTACTGAGCTTTCCAAAGCTCACTCTTACTCACATTTTCAGGTTAAAAGAATCATACTAATGCATCTATCGACATCAGTAAAGAAGTTCTTCCGGCGTTGCTTGCAGAGTATGGTACATGTAATTAGAGGGCATGCAATTGTATTTTGTTTTATATTTGAGTATGAAAATCTGTTTTAATTCTGCATACCGATTAATGATTTTATAAGTTTACATTTTTTAATAAAAGTTTTAAATTTCCGTTATATTTTTTTCGGTGGGTCACTCCGGTAACCCTAATATGACACATCAGATTGGGTTACCCGCATCGATCTGAGGATTTTAATTTTATCAACCCTTGTTACTTTTTTATTCTACATTTTTGACGTATGATTTCAGATTCTATCTGTGGCATTGGCTGAATGGTCTGATGAAGACACTGATTACATGATTGAAGTTGGAGGAAATCCCTCTGCTAATGCAATATGTGAGGCCTATATACCTGAAGGTTATTCAAAGCCTGGTCCAGATGGTAGTCATGATGAGCGGAGGAGATTTATCAGGTTAGAGTTCAGGGCCTCAGGCCAAAATAGACTCTCTCAACTTCAGCTTTTCTTTGTCATTTCTCTTGGCCTGGCCGACCAATATAGACTCTCGCAACTTGAATCCAGTTTGGAATGAGTAACTGGTGCTGTGTGGGGCTGTGAAGTTGGTAAGTATAGGTTACTTCTGAATACGTTGAATTAAGAAAACTGTTTCCCCAAAAAGAAAAGTTGGTAGCTGCGAAAGGTTTTCTGCTTTGGAATGAAGTATTGCACTTACATTATCTTAGAATCGTGGTCATATCTATTTATGAACCATTTACAGCTGGCGTGTTCAATAACATATTATGGTTAGACTGATAATAAGTGACTGACTCAAAATTTTATGTGAATAAAATAAATTCATACTTATAAAATTTTAATAAAAAATATATAAATAAAATTTAAACTAAATAATAATTTAAAATTTTTAAGAATGACAATTTTTCCTTCCTCACGCGCTATCTTTAGCTTAATTATGATGGATATACAGTCACTGAAAAATCTGCAATGACACGTGGAATGTTCTCAATCATGCAGATTGATGGAAAGGCCAAACAACAGTCAATCAATCCAGCTCCAAAAAGTAGAATTTGGAGAAATTTATCTAGAATTGAGGTGGTTGCAATAAGTATATATATCCCCGTCAAACACGCTTTAATTTATAATTAAATAAAGATTTTAAATTAATTAAAATTTCAATAAAAATTATATAAAATAAAAATATTTTTTAAAATAAATCAGATACAAATATTAATTTGATCTAAGTATATACATGCACCTCATATTTTAATATTTATTATATCTTTTACGTTTATACATTTTATATTATCCTTTTAATGATAGACTTTAAGTTAAATTATTCTTAGTGTTTGAAAATTGTCATCATTGTCCATTCTAAATTTGGGTGTATAATATTTTTGAGTGAATATGTTAATACATCATCTAGTATAAGTATTATATTAATCGTGATAAATTTATTTTTTTTAAAATAATTTACCATGACACAATATTTTTCAACTCTTTATTCAAAATATTCTTTTATATGTCATGTCAGTATTAATATTTTGTTTTATCATTATATTTTCAACAATTAACAACTGATTTTTATTTTTTAAATTTATTACTCAAAATTATATGATAATAATTTGTAAAAATAAATAATTGTGATAATAATTTGGATTGAAGTTTATCATTATATAAATAATGTAAAAGAAGTCTAAATGTAAAAAAGGAACAAAATATATTAGCATATGATATATATATTTAGATCAAATTACTATTTATGTTTAGTTTAATGAACAAATATTTTAATTTCATATGATTTATGCTAGCTTTTTAATTAATTTAATTGCAACTTAGTAACATAATTATTTTTATAAGTAATAAAAAAAATTAACAAGAGATATTCACTTAATATAATTTAGTTTAAATTAATAATAAATACATGTAATATTAAAACTTTTAAATGTTTACATAAAAAATCTGACAAAAGAAAAACTATAAAATAAAGGATATTTTGATGGAAGGGGTATAGAGTCGAGCGGGCAGGAGATCTCGATCGAGTATATACAACCCAAAGAAAGAGAGGAACCCATTTTATTTAGCATTTTCCCTCTCAATCTTATAATTTTCTGCTACAAGGACGGCTGTAGGTGCAAATAAAAACTATAAAATAACAGAGAGGAAAGATAAATGGCGGAAAGCGAGAAAGAAATTGAATCTATAAGAGCAGCTTCGAACGAGGTGTCTCGTCAGTTCAAAACCCTACTCGATCCAAATGATTTGGACTCTCTCAAGCACTTGCAACTTCTCATGTACCTTCATTTTTCTCTATTTACTTATATTTTATTAATAAGGTTGGATTTAATTCCCGCCGTATATGATAATTCGTTTTTGTATGTTCTGTTGAAAAGTTCATTTGTTTTCTATTATCACTTAGTAAAACTGTACAAAGTTAAGTTTTTTTTTCCTATTGCAATCTAAAATAATTAGATTTATTATGTGGATAGCCATCTGGATCGGGATTGGGATCTTGTTATGGGGCGGACTTGAGAGCCGACTTTTGAACTGATACATGTTTATATTTTCTATACAGTTACATATCAACTACTTGAATGGCTCTAGCAGTTTTAAATTTGCCATAAAAAATAGTGTTTATCTTGTATTTGAAGAGATGCTATGTCAGATGCGAATGCCTATGTCCGTGGTTTATATCCATGCCCTTGTCTCCAGGACTAGAGTGAACAGAGTCTGGCTCCTGGCATGTATCCGGAGAGTGACTTAAAGAGAGTCACGTATCAAGCTGAAGCCCCCTTTACATCTTTGTTCTGTGCATAAATTTTTGTCCTGACAGAAAACAAGAATCTTCCAATAGTTTACTCCACCAAAATGATTATAGATTTATTACAATCTAATGCTGTGCAAACTATCTATCTTATATATACTGCTATGTTTTTCCCTTGCTCTTGATTGCAAAAAAAAGTAGCTTAGTTTTGAGTAGCAATCTTTATTCCTGTTTTACTATAGGATTTTTTAAATTTGATTGTGTGCCACAACTTGCAGCTTGGGAAGGCTACAAGACAGCAATGCGGTCTTATCTCATTTTAACGAGTACTCAGAACATTGCTTTGCTGAGGTTTCTAGTGACTTTTCAAGAAATACACGCATGTTAAAATCTATGAAGTCTGACCTTGATTATATCTTTCAAAAGCTCAGGTAGAAGTTATTGTTTTAACTATTTCTGCCTTGTTATCTTGCTGTTGTACTGTGCCAATATAGAGTTTGGACAACTAGCTTTCCTAGACTCATTTTCTGTCTTGTTAGATCATATATGTTTATGCCCTCTAAAGGTCACTAAACTTGATTTCAGTGTAGAGTTGAAAAAATTTTAATCAAGTAAATTCACGTTTAAAGCGACAGTTGTAAATATGCTTTTTAATGGAATAAGACGGCATTTAAAGAACCTTTTTTGGTTTCTGTTTCTGTTTGGTAATTATGAAGGGTTTTTTAACGTGACCTCTAATTCTTATATGAAAAAAAAAGATTTGTACAATACTAAACAGGGATGCATGACAAAAGGACAAAATATAAGAATTGGAAAGAATATTAAGATGCCTTTTAAAAATTAAGATTTTTTTTGTGTGTGTGTGTTTGGGTTTTTAGATTGTTTCCCATGAAGTATTGTGACTTAAGCTGTCTAACTACCATTGACCTGCATAGAAGTTGCTTGGAGAACCTGTGAAGATGCAAATACATGCACTTCCTCAGTACGCTATATCATTCTTCTTGGTCCAAAAGAAATATTCTGCAAGACTTTAAATGTTTCAGTTGTGTGATACACTTCCACATATGTTTCAGTACACATAAGTACCTCTTTAAGAGATCTCACCAGAATATAATTGTAGAATATGTTTGAGCTGTAATTGTTTTGAATTTCAAGTACAACTGCTCCCATTGTTTTAGTATACTTCAATCCATATTGATAGATTTAAGAAATCTGCTGGAGTCTGCGGAAAACAGGTTAGGCATAAATATTAAGCATCTTGTTCGTATATCTTTTTGTCCTTCGTAATGCCACAAAATATGCCCCTAGTAATGCCAAGTATCATCTTTCAAATTACATCATGTTTGGTAAAGTTATTTTATCTACATTGGTCTTGTGTACCTTGGTACGCTGTTCTTTGCTTCTTTTATGTCCCCCACCCCAGCTATCATGTAATTGCAATTAATATTTGTATTTTGCTGGATTTTCATTGAGCTACAATTAGTTCTGTGGAGTTTCTGATTATGCAAGTATAATTTTCTATGTTTGAACATCAAGATAAACTGTTTTGTTAGGAAAAACAGATTGAAGATGATAACAGCAATATATGTAATTTGTCTTTATATCGAAAAGGATTTGGTGACTAGTAAAACTTAATTCTCATCTGAATCTTTAAAAGACCTAAAGAATGTTTATTCTCTTTAAATTTACTTGGCATGCAACTTTATGAAACCTATGTTGGACATATTAATGTTGATATTAATGATAAAGAAAAATTGGGAAATGTTTTTAGTACTTTTTTGTACAAATGTAGCTTAAGGATGCGTTCCATGCACCGTTAGGCCTTCTGTAACTTCTATTGGATAAGAATAGACATATTTTCCCCTAAAAGTTACATTTGATAACCCCTTAAAGAAAGCATAAACTGATTGTGATTTTTAGAATTACAGTTCCTGCTTCAATTAGCAATGTTTGAATGTCGGTATAAACATTTCAGTCCTGCTTCAATTAGCAATGTTTGAATATCAGGATAAACATCTCAGTCTGCTTTCGGTAATCCACTCTGCCTGTTTTTCTGTATGGATTCACACTTCTCAACATATTGCAGTTTTTTGACTTGAGTCTGCACTACGTACTTGTATTTAAATCCTATCTAATCCAGAAAGTCTCTGTCTCTACCCCTGCTTATTTATGTTTTTCTACAGGAGCATGAAGGCAAAAATTATGGCTACCTATCCAGATGCATTTCCGGATGAATCAACTGGAGAAGTATTTGACCAAAGACCGAACCTAGAAGTGCCTCAATAGCTTTGCTATGGAAAGGGGTTATCTCCAGGTTTTCCTGTGCTTATTCCCCCTTCTGAGTTGTATTAAAAACTCACTATTAAGATTTTATTATTGTAGTGCTTTCTACATGGAATGAATCTTGATTGATTGATGAGGAAACTGATATCTTACCTTGTTGCTATTATTATATGTACTTCTGCAATGGTTGTATGCTGTTTTGATATTTACACCTGTGTTGGTTGTATATGCAAGGGAAAGAATAAATACAGGAAGCTGAGAAAGCAGTCTGTTTTATTAGTTTATCTTGTCTAAGAATACTTTCAATGCTATTTTGGTCGGTTTAGAGCATTGTACCGAGGGTCAAGGGTTGTATGTGTAGGCAGCTTTTCACTTGATGCATGGCCAATTTGGTTGGTTTGGTTTGGTGTTTCCTCAAATTTTTATTATTTCTGGATCAAGTTGATCTAAGATTCAGGTTCCTTATAATTTCAAGTTTGTTTGGATTATACAAGCTTTAGTCATTTTGGATTGTCTTAGGTTTATTTCATTCGAGAGCTCTATTTAATTAATGGAAATGTGATGGAACAAATTAACAAATACAGGTAATTCACCAGGCTATGGAACAAGCAGATGAGAGGAACTAAAATGCATCAGGATGTTTATGCAGTCTGGTGAATTACCTGTGTTTGTCGGATGAATCCATTAATAACTGGTGATACAAGTACTATTTATAGCTCAATCAATCTTGGGATTATTGCAGGGTTAATCTTTCTTATTGAACGTTATTTAACAACTTTCAAGGTGTGAAAACAAACTCACTCGCAAATCATACAAGCAAGAATATCTCTAATTAAGCTGCCTTGTGCTCTACTGCTAATCGAGGATGATGGTTCCCTGTAAAGACAATTGATTTTGTTGAATTCTCTTGATATTTGTTGATGTCTTTCAAGAGAGTGGTGTTAAAATTCCGGCACGGTGATCGTAGATTAATGAACGGCGACAATCAATGCAGTAGAGAGACAAGCCACTATAGATTTGTTTGATGGATTAAGATTTATGTTTTTTTAAGCTGAGGAATACAATGTAAAAAGTTGCAAAACAAATCAAGTTTACTGAATGAAATTGGATCGATCATACATGTGCCATGTTACATTTGTGGTTTTGGTTAGTTGTAAATAATTTAAAATAAATATCTTTTATAGATAATTTAAAAAATTGTTGACATTGCACTTTGCCACATCTGCACCTCTTGTGATGTGGGCACATCACATCAGTTACAGGCGTTGATCGTTAATTAACTAATGGTTTTTATATAAAGAAGAGACTTTCGACCCAAAATGAAATATCGGGTTAATTTGCTCTATAAAAAAAAAGGACCAAAGGTTAAATTTGTCAAACGTTAAGTGTTCTTTTTGTCATTATTCTCAAAAGAGAAGATTTTTTTTACCAAACATCTGCGGATCTAATCACACGATCTTATAATAAGAACAAGAGATCTTATCAATCCTTTTGCCCCTCATTCTTCAAGAATCAGAAAGATCCTTTTAAAGTTTGAATTTGCTCATTTGGAATATGGGTTCTAAATTTGTCAAACGTTAAGTGTGCTTTATGTCATTATGCCAAGAATAAAATTTATTTATTTAAAATCTCAAAATGCATTTCTTTATTTTAAAACTAATAATCGCACAAAATCATAATTTAATATTTAAATACCAAAATTTAGATTCAATTCATATAACATTTTAGGCAGTTATATAATGTAACACATCTTAAATCAAAATTGTCAGAAAATGCTTGATTTGAAAACCATTTTTATCATAAATAATTACGATTTAATAAACTAATATTAATAATTAATAATGTCTTTTGTAAAACCAAGCATTCATAATTTAAACAAAAATATCTTAAGCAGACTCGAATCAGAGCGGCTAGAAACTTTTTTAATATACATGCCACTACCAAATAAATTAACAAACAGGATGTTCTTACTGATTCTGATGGCAAAATTGATTCCTCATAAATGATGCTGATGCACTCCCTATTTTTCCTTATATTTTGCACCTACGTGTGAAACACTCACACGTGAAGTTTTCACTTAGTGAGACAACTAAGTAAAATAAAATAAAAATATTTAACTTATAAAACAAACAATATTTGTATCGTATAAAACATTAATAAAATAAAACATGTATAAAATCAGATGTTAATTCGTAATAAGAATTTATTATAAAATCTGTAAATCAGTTCATATAATTGCAAAACTGTATTTTTCTTTTCGAAACCATATCATTTCAAATCCATATTTTTCTTATTCATATCAAACATTTACACATTTTATTATCATGAGAATATGTGGTACGCCAGTCAGATAACGAGTGAGCACGCTATATACAAATTTACTGTCAGAACAGATTGCACCGAGTCACTCCAACTCGTGCACCACTAAGGTACGCCGAGTCAGACCACGAGTGACCCGTCTTGGTGCCATATAATGCACATATAAAGCTAATTAGATGCACATAATCACTCCACCTCATGCACCACTAAGGTATGCCGAGTCAGACCACGAGTGATCCAAACTGATGCCATATCAAAAACATATTCAAATTCACTCCACCTCATGGCATGCCATTGTACCACAAACCCTCATTTTCATACAATATACTTTGTTCTAAATCAATTACTAATTTGCATATAAAACCATTCATCCATATAATCGAATATAAAACCATTTATATAAAACCAGATCTGGGCAGTTCATACAAAACAATATTCACATACTAGGAATTGTACTTCCGAATAAAATAATTTGTGTTATTCAAACCAAAATCATATAAAAATCATTTAGTAAATCAATATAAAGATATTTTTATAAATATTTTAAATATTTTTCAATCAAAAACTTTCGAGGTTGGTTCATCGCAAGCCGTCCTCATATCGAGTATAAAATAAGTAAGTTGTACTCACCTGATGCCTCACCAACTTATCATACGATCACCTTTATAACCATCGTATCTGGTTCATTTTGATCTCGATTATAATCACGAACTACTTGATTATCGATTTTCAACATATAAACAATTCACATACATTAGTACTCGTAACATTATAATAAAATTAAATTTGAATCGTAATTCTAAAAAATTTGACTAAGGAACATTTGATACTAATTTCTACCGTGAAATCGAAATCAACCTTAACTTAACCAAATTCACTCTTGAACTCCGTTCATTTTTCTTTTTGCTCGTTTTGTTATCGATTCCAGTCACGAACTACTCAAAAATTAAGTATCCAGCATAAACAATTTCGAACATATGTTAATATCTAAACAACTTGTTAAACATGTATCTGTATACAATATGATAAAATACGATAAATAAATATTCGATGCTAATCTCTATATCTAAATCAATTCTAGTCAACTCTTGCAAAAATAACCTTCCTAGTCCTTGAAAATAATAATTCTCAACCTTAAATCACTTAAATTTTCACAATTTAACATTTAACCCAAAATTACGCATTTCTTCAAATTAAATCCCAATATTTCGAAACTTGTCATGTAACACCCCCAACCCGTACCCGACCCGAATATGAGTCCGAGATGTCACATTGACTTTTTAAAATAATATTCTTATAGAATAACAGAACATTTGAACTTATATTAAGAAAATACAATAATATACTATTAATTTATGCTTCATTATAAAAATTTAAGGCAAACATGTTTTTATGAACAGTAATATATTATATGAACAATATCATTAACAGTGCTACAGTGTACCGATGAACTGCTACAGTGTACTGATGCATAAAACATCGAATATAAATTGTATATCGATGCACTGCTACAGTGTACCGATGCACTGCTACAGTAACTTCAGCTCAAATTATATAAAACTCATAAAAATTAAACCTTCATCACTATACATTTACCATTTACATAAATATGTGTAAAACATCTCAAAACTTGATTAGAGTACACATACTTAATTTAAAGACTTTGTTTACATGCCAACCTATTTATCACATAATAATACATACGGTGTAATTTACTTCTGATTTGATCTTTGAGAAGAGATACGTTGTTACTCTGAAATTAGCTTTGATCCTCCTGCTTTTCAGTACCGACGTGTAAATCACTTACACGCTAAGTCATAGACTTAGTGAGGCATAAACATAATAATGATGCATTTCTCATAAATATAAATATGCAATCTATGAATTCAATCATGTCACATATGATTCAATATAAATAATAACAACACAATAACATATGATAATGCAAACACTTTTGATACCTTTTGTAAGCCCATTAATATACTTATCAATACTTATATTACTATCATTGATGCCTTTATATCATATAAGTATATACTGAACATTTCTATACATACCATAGAACACATATATCATTTCACAACATAGTACACATAGTACCATATCAATTGATTTATTTACTCTCTTTAAAGCCCATGTACACTTCTGAGAACTAAAGGTATGTGAGTACATTATGGTTATGCACAATTATGTTGTCACCACAGCTTGTATAAATGTCCCGAAGGACCAGTCCATAGATTCCGAAGAACCTAGGTAAACAGTCTATATGTCCGAAGAACATAGGTAAACAGTCCATATGTCCCGAAGAATATAGGTAACCCTCGACCCTTGGCATGCCAACTATACACCTAGCTCTCATATCACAAAACATGGGCATTATCATTTATAATGGTTCACATATTCACATCACTTATTCATATCATTTCTCTTATAAACACATATCTATTCTTTTCTGTCACGTATCACATATACGTGTAATCATTGATCTTATATCATAATACTTTCTCGTATATTCTCATATCTCATTACCACGTATTCATTTCATTTTCTATATCCTTATCACATTACTTATTTCACATTCATATGTTACATAGTTCATATCACTTTGCATGTAATCATATAGATCATATCATATAGCCTATATCATTTCTCATGTTTTTTATGTAAGCGCATATGTCATGTCTTGTTTACTTATGTTCATATATATATATCACACAACACATAAAATAACATGTCAAACATATTACATATACATGTAATCATGTAAATCATGTCACATACAATAACATTTTAAGAGTAATTTCTTACCATAGTAACTCCCTCACTGGCTCATCGCAAGCAATGTTTATTCAATAACATAAGTACAAAATTAAATTGCAATCACCTATATTTCCTTGTCTTTCCCTCGATCAATCTTACTTGCCACTTGTTCTAGAACTCGTTTAGGCTCAATATCTACATAA